CCTACATGCGAGCGGCTGAATTGAAGCTGTGGCTCGCATGACTGTCGCCATATCAGATTATGATTCATGGAAAAGAGCACACGACAAAAGACTTAGATATATGAAGCGTGAATAGAGTTCAGGCAGCCAAATTGTTCTCTTGTTTTCTTCGAGTCCAGCGTCTGATGTAACCACGTACAACGTAATACTTCTATCCTCCCGACTTGACGTGGCATATCACTTGACCTTCGCCGGGTCGATCTCGTGTTCTCGTCTCTTTTTTCCGATGAGGTTAGCTTCTCACGGAATCGCGTCAAGCCGGCAAGCCAATCTGGATTGCTAAAATCCGGCGGACCGACTCATCGCACCTTTCCGAACGCAAGGGTCTTGGCGGGTGTTTCAAGCATGACGAGCCGTCACGGTCATATTCAGCTCGTTAACGGCGAGTCGGTAGTTAAGTCCGTTGACTCCGCCATATGGAGTCAAGGAGCTTGGACTGTGCTGGTGGAGTTTTCTAGTACAGGCTGAATCATACTAGTAGCACAGTTACCGTGGGATACCTGGATAAAAGCTCAAAGCTGAGCAGGTTCCATTTATTGTTAGTGGCTGGTGACTCATGCCTTGTAGCCTAGATCTGATAGCAACACAGGATACTGTTGTATTAGCCAATTAGGATCCAGCATGCCCACATCATTATGACTTGCAACAGACTGAAACCTGAATCCATTGAGCGTAGACCACCTACTCTTAGCTACCGGATGATTCCAGAATCTCCTGTCTCCCACTCTCCCTCTCCTGAGGTTGAACAACAAACAGAACCACTTACTCAAGTCACTCAATCCATGAATCAATTCAACTTTTCATTTTCTTTGAGATGCAAATTTAAAACAACCCAGTAACGAATAAGGTAATGATACCCAGCTGTGACTCATGGCGCAAAGCCTCATTGGTCATCGATCTGGCGCCGAGTTTGGCCGACCCGATCATTGGCTGTTTTTTTCCGGGCTCACCCTCGTATTTGGGACCTGCGCCAGGAAAGTCATGGTACACAACGTCGGAAATTTGGTAATGCTGACTGCAATCGGCATTATCTGCGGCCGATGTCCGATGGCAGAATATCCCGTCAGGGTAAAGAGGATCCAGGAGTGGCTTATTTTTTTCGTATAGGGGATTAACGTTATGGTCATGGAGGGCATGAGCCTCCTAAAAAAAAATCCTCTGACGTGGGTAGTCCTATTCCTCCGTCCCCCGATCTAGCCCGTAATTACGGAGTAACTGGAGGAGAGAAAGAGAAAATTCTTATATAATATCTCAAGAAGGGACCCTGTGTAGTATTGTCAGTTTTCTCAATTGAGGTGAACATAACACAGAACTCCTGGCAGTCTCTTTTCTTGCTTGAAGGGATCACCTTGCGCCGGTACATCTTATCTTACTCATCACATCCCGACATAGATACTTCAGCAACAGACGAATCAGAATGACAGCGTCAGCGTCCAGCGTCACGGACGTCGACGTCGAGAACTTCCCGAAGGAAAAACTGGACGTCAAGGAAACCGAAACCGAACATGAGAACGAATACCCTCCACTCTCCAAAGTCGTCGTCATCATCCTCGGTCTGTATCTCGCTGTCTTCCTGGTAGCCCTCGACCAGACCATTATCGGAGTCGCCATCCCCAAGATCACCGATCAGTTCAAGAGTATTGAAGACATTGCCTGGTATGGCAGTGCCTACTTCCTCACGTCGACTGCGCTGCAACCGTCATACGGTCGCGTCTATAAGATCTTTAGTGTTGGTTTTCCCCCCGTGCTGGATGTGCTGACTGCTGGGTCGTTGCTAATGGGTGAAACTGTATAGGTCAAATGGGCTTTCTTGATAGCTGTCTTCATCTTCGAAATAGGATCCCTCATCTGCGCTGTAGCCCCGTCGAGTACCGTTTTGATCGTTGGCCGAGCCATTGCGGGTATCGGTGTTGCGGGTATCTTCTCTGGAGCCATGGTCATCATCTCAGTGACTGGTAGGTCATTCTGCGTATGGTCTTGGAACAACGCCAATCTGACTCTGGATAGTCCCATTGCCTAAGAGACCTCTTGTTTTCGGTATGTTTGGCATGGTCTGGGGTATTGCTTCGATTGCCGGACCCTTGCTCGGCGGTGCGTTCACCGATGGTGTTTCATGGCGATGGTGCTTCTATATCAAGTGAGTGGCGCCGCATGCCCTTTCCACCCTGGCAGAAGAAAATACTGACCGCAGCAGTCTTCCCATTGGAGGTATCTCGCTCGCCGTCATCCTGTTTGTTCTCCGACTCCCCGACAAGAACGAGTTCTCCGGCACTCCCATCCTCGAACGGATCCAGCAGCTGGACCTCATCGGCGCCAGTCTCCTCATCCCCGCCATCATCTGCCTCTTGCTCGCCTTGCAGTGGGGAGGAAACAAGTACCCCTGGAACAACTCGCGGATCATCGGCCTGTTCGTCGGCTTCGGCCTCATGGCTATCCTCTTTGCATTCTCGCAGGTCAAGATGGCTGACAAGGCCACCCTGCCCCCGCGCATGTTCAAGAACCGCTCTGTCCTCTCCGCCACGCTCTATGCTCTGTTCTTCGGTGGTGCCTTCTTCGTCCTCGTCTACTATCTGCCCATCTTCTTCCAGAGCGTCAAGGATTCCTCGGCCATGAAGTCCGGCATCCAACTCCTGCCCCTGATGCTGGCCACCGTCGTGTCCTCGGTGGTCATGGGCGGCGCCGTCACCGCCGCGGGCTACTACACGCCCTTCCTGATCGGTAGCACGGCCATCGCCGCCATCGGAGCCGGTCTCATCACCATGTACGAGATCGACATCTCCACGGGCAAGTGGATCGGCTACCAGATCGTCCTGGGCGCCGGCGTCGGCGCCGGGTTCCAGATTCCCATGACGGCCGTCCAGACCGTCCTACCGGCTGAGGATATTCCCCTCGGCACGGCGGCGGTCATGTTCTTCCAGACGCTGGGCGGCGCGCTGTTCATCGCGGTGGCGCAGTCCGTTTTCCAGAACGGCCTGATCACCGGGCTGGGCAAGTATGCTCCTGCTGTTGACCCGACGGTGATTGTCAAGGCGGGCGCCACCGAGATGAGACACGTGCTGGCTGGATTGAACCAGTCGGACCAGCTCATGGGCGTGATCAAGGCCTACATGAGTGGATTGCGGGATTCATATCGTGTCAGTTTGGCGCTGGTAGTGGTCGCATTTGCGGTCAGCTTGTTGATGGAGTGGAAGAGCGTCAAGGCGAATAATGGGGAGAAGAAGGATGTTGTGGTGGCTGCCATTTAAAGTGGTCATCATCCGTTTTTCGCTCTTCGTTCTTCGTTCTTCATTCTTCACGCAAAAACCAGCATAGATCCGGATTGTTAGAAACTGGCGGGAATGGGCGGATGGGCTTCTTTTTAACTAACGACCCGATTCATGATATGTACTTAATTATGCACTTCTATTCATATTATACTAATGTCTACTCCACTCAACTGCTCCGTTCCAGAAATCAGCTCCGGAGACTCCGGAGTCCCAGTTGTAAATAGTTTATGCTGCAAAGTTAGTGCATAAGGCTATGCATGCCGTGCATTGTGCTGCCTGGATAAAATGGCAACTATTCTGCCGAGAATTTGTACTCCGACTGCCCAGTGCCCAGAGCCTTAGACAGCCCGACAACTCCATCCAGCGTGCCCAAGAGGTGGAGTCGGTCTTGGCTGTTGTATTAAATTTTCACTGGAATATGGATGTAACAACAATGAATAGCAGAGTAGAATTGACAGGCGATGTAGCTTTCTAGATGTGAGATGGGTGATTGAAGGGCGAGGTGATATTATGAGGATTATTATTCAAGGATCGCAGGGATGATAGCTGGTGGCTGGAGGTACATGATTCAGGCAAATAAGAATGCCGAGACTGCCGATTTCGATGGCTGATACTGGTTCTGGTCTAGTCCCTTGGCAGTAATTTCGTCCGTCCCACGCCGCAGCCAGGGATGGATATTTCGACTCATGTTCAGGGTCAGGATACACAGTAACAGAGAATTAGACTCTGTAGATTCTCAGGAGACGTTCTGATGCATTATGGTCGTCTTTCAACCTATTACGCAGGAGTATGGAGTAGTTGTATTGTTGTCGTAGGAGGACAGTGCCAAGTGGACCGAACGAAACCGGGAAATTGGCACGCGACGACGAGGGAGTCAAGAGCCTTGGGAGATGGGGATCATCCACGGGTCCTCATCAAATCACATCGTTGTCGTCCGTTCTGCAAGAGCTTTGGTGGTGTCTACCTAGTCCATCTGATGATCGCATCCCGAGTACGAGTACGAACTACGAACGAGGTTTCCCTTCTCCTACTACTCCTGACGTCTTCTTCTGATGGTTGTTTATAGTTCAGTCCCTTATGATGTAAGGCTCCGCTACATTCACTTCTTCAACCACGGAATACTCTCTCATCCCACCGTCACTCCTGGCCTCGTCACCCCTATCACCAACTGTCCTACTCCGGCATCAGTGGATCGATCTCCCCTTGGGCCCCGTCTTGGAAGAATCTTGGAAAAAGAGCAATGGCCGGCGGACTTGTCGGATCAACCACTGAGGAATGACTGGACCATTGCAATTCTTCATACTCTTTAGTCTCTAGTTGACTATTAATCTGATTGTCCTCGCCTATTTTTTTTTATTAGTCTCTCTTTCTGCTCTCGCTCTAATTCCTTATTCTCTATCTAATCTAATCTTATTGCATTAATTGTCACAGTCTCATATACTATCACTACACTTGGCAACCGTAGGCACTGCAGTCTAATTGTACTAATTCAGGGTACGCGATCACGCCAGTTTCCATTTTCTCTCAATTGCACAGCTGTATATTCATCATTTGACTGGAGATTATTCTGAACCAGTCACTGTCGAGCAATATCCAGTGGCGCAAGAGAATCCAGTATGCGAACAGAGACGTGACATCCACCGGCCACATATACCCCTTCTGGACCACTTCGATACTCGTTGATTCACGGCAGACATGATCACTTTGATTTTACGGCTCAGCATTCTTGTGATACTATTAGCAGCGGCCGTAGCGTCTCCCGTTTCTTCCTCCGACAAGGACAGCAGCAAGAGCAACCAAGAACATGTCAACCATGGCAAGATCATCACTCACAAACCTGAATATGATCCCCTGTCGGAGAAGTACGGCCTGAACAATTCGCAAGAGTTCAAGTACTTCCATGAACCAGGCAATGACGATACCCTGGGCCACTACGATACGCGCTTCTTCAACGAGCCTGTCCCGGACGAGGAGCGCTCCGAAACTCTGACGCATATGATTCGCTCTTATCTCAACTTTTTCAATGAGCATGGCATGGAGACTTGGATTGCGCATGGGACATTACTGGGGTGGTGGTGGAATGGCAAGGTACTTTACTTGTTCGGCATAGGAGCTTCAGGGACTGATAGCTAACGCTGGCGACATGTGTAGATGCTACCCTGGGACTGGGATATTGATACACAAGTGCTGGATACCACCCTGCTGCACTTGGCTGACAACTTCAACCAAACCGTCGTCCACTACACGGCTGCCGACTCCGACGTGGAGCGGAGCTACCTCCTCGACATCAACCCCTGGGCTCGACAGCGCGAACGGGGTCAGGGACTCAACATTATCGATGCGCGGTGGATCGACAGGCAGACGGGTCTCTACATTGACATCACAGGACTGAGTAGGTTGGAGCCGGAGAAACCCACTCTGTGGCAGGACAAAAACGACCACAAGTATCAGATAGGGGATATCTATCCCCTGCGCAAGACGACTTTTGAAGGCGTGCTAGCCAAAATCCCCTTCGACTACGATTCTGTCTTAATCGGAGAATATACCCAGGAAGCGTTGACAATGACCAAGTACCACAAGTGAGCATTCTCGTGAATTTCTTCACACCTGGAACGCATGACTAATTGGTACAGTCATACATGGTATCCTGACCTGGAACAATGGGTTTCCGATAACGACGAAATCGCCAAAGACAAGCTCGACGACGATCGCCAATATGAGAGGCGATGATTGCGACATCATTCCCCTTAAAAACATACCGAGTTATGCCAGATACGGCCATAATCGTCACATACTGTGGACATAGATCTTCATTTGCACATATAGCATTTGCGCGCTGATCTGGCGAGGAGTTCTGCATGCTTTTCGGGATTTACCTCTAGCAGATGGGCTGGTGTTTCGGTGTTCTTTGACCTTTTCCTTCGCTGTATTCTATATCGAACATCTTGTACATAGCCCAGACGCGTTCAGCGTCACCTCGTTCGTTGCATAGCCCTGCCTCACAAATACTCCAGAAGCCATTGCATTCACACGTGAATACTCCAGGGGTACCCCACACAATCATTCTCAAAATACCAAGATTACCAAAAACAGCATAGTGATCAACTTCAGACACTAGTGCGCCAGTTAAAGTGGATTAGATTGCGCTAATCCCACGAGCTCAGGGGGCACTGTTTACTGCCTCAGGGGTCAAGCATCCAAAGTCATGTGATCCGATCGGCTTATCTCTTATCTCCGCGCTGACAAACGCAATCGCCGTGGAACGTAATCGAAGTGTTGCCTCCAGCGTATATTATTCAACTCCAATTTTGCATTCGTTCCTTTTACTACTTTCATTTTACCCAGATCAGTCTCATCTTGACTAGAAGAGCTACAACATGGCCGACTCAACAACGTCAGATATGACCCTAACGGTCCACCACCATGGCAAGCCACACACCTTCACCCTCCCGCCAGACGCAACCCTCCAAGACCTCTCCTCGACCATCGCCCAAACCCTCAACATCCCCATCGAGAACCAGAAACTCCTCATCGCCCCGAAACCAGGCATGCAAAAGCACCCCTTCGCGCCGACCCCGCTCTCAACCCTTCTCCCACTCACCTCCCCCAAATTCAAACTCACCCTCCTCGGCACCCCAGCCCAGGAAATCGAGTCCCTGAACGCCCAGACAGCCGAAACCCGCCAGCGCCTCGAAGCCCGCGCCGCCGCCGCAGCAAAACACCGCTCCCGGCGGCCCGCCCCCAGCTCAGCAGGCGGCATCCATACTCTCTCAAGCGGGGGCAGCAACACCTACACCTTCCACCGGCTCCTCCCGCTCTCATACCTGCCCAACCCGTCGCGGTCGCTGGAGTTCCTGGCCCGCCTGCGCGACGACCCGGGCATCCGCGCGGCCATGGCAAAGCACCGCTTCTCCGTCCCGCTGCTGACGGAGATGGATCCGGCCGAGCACACGACGAGCGAGTCCCGGACGCTCGGCCTGAACCGCAATAAAGGCGAGGTGATCGAGCTGCGGCTGCGCACGGATGCTTACGACGGATACCGCGATTATCGGACGATTCGCAAAACGCTGTGCCATGAGCTGGCGCACTGTGTGTTCAGCGAGCATGATCGGGATTTCTGGGATTTGACGGCGCAGATCGAGAAGGAGGTTGAGCGGGCGGATTGGAAGCATGGGGGGAGGAGGTTGACGGACGAGGAGTTCTATAACCCTGGGGATTGGGAGCGAGAGAAAGATGTGACCGCGGTGGATGAGAGGGGGTGGACTGGGGGTGAGTTTGTGCTGGGGGGCTTGAGGGATGAGAGCGGTGGTGTGGAGAGTCGACGGGAGATTATAGCTCGCGCGGCGGAGGAGAGGATGCGGAGAGAGCGGGAGAGGGAGAAGGAGAGAGGAGAGGGCACAGGGAGGGGATAATATATTGAAGTTTCCTTCAAGATGGACCGACGACATGGCATGATGTGACGATTATTTAATACCCTTGCATTTTGCATTTCATTTGGAACGATTGTGAATAGATATATATACATTAAATCTGCTCGTTCACAAACAAACCAGCCATTCCCTGGCCAGTACCGATGCACATACTCGTAACCAGGACCTTGCTCTTCGTCCGCCGCGCTTCGCTGAGGATCGTGCAGATCTGACGGGCACCTGTCGCGCCCAACGGGTGGCCGAGCGCAATCGCACCACCGCGGGGGTTGACCTTGGCATGGTCCAGACCGAGGTTCTTCAGGCAATACACGGCCATCGAGGCAAAGGCCTCGTTGATCTCGTAGATGTCAATATCCTCCTTGCTGAGGTTGAACTTGGACAGCAACTTGGGGATCGCTGCAGTGGGCCCGATGCCCATCACGCGGGGCGGCACACCGGCGACAGTCGCGCCGCAGAACTTGGCCAGGATGGGCTGGTTGAGCTCGATGGCCTTGGAGCGGCGCATGAGCAGGATAGCAGCAGCTGGCAAATTTCATCAGTACAATCGACATGAGATGCAGTGGAAGGGTGATGCAAGGCTTACCTCCATCAGTAACCTGACTGGCATTACCGCCCGTCGTCCGGTTTCCAAACTGCGGGAAAGCAGGGCGGATCTTGTTCAGTGCCTCAACGGTGGTACCGTACCGAATGCCCTCGTCGCGGGTAAGAGTCACGGTCTTGACCTCCCCAGTCTTGGGATCCTTCACCTTAGTCGTGATAGGGACGATCTCATCGTCGAACCAGCCCGCCTTCTGCGCCGCCTCGGCCCTCCGGAACGACTCCGCCGCGTACGTATCCTGCATCTCGCGCGAGATGTTGAAGTCCGCGCCCACGTTCTCCGACGTCTGGCCCATGGGCTGCATGCAGTCCGCCGCCTCCTGGTTCTTCAGCACCTCCTCGTTGAACGGCCGCGGGAGCCGGTCGCCGCCCGCAGACATCAGCTCCGCGCCGACCGCGACGCCCACGTCGATCGCGCCCAGCTGGATCTGGTTCGCGATGTCTTGCACCGCCTTGAGACCCGAGGAGCAGAACCGGTTGACTGAGGATGCGCCGGCTGTGTGGGGAATCCCCGCGGCGAGGGCCGCCGCCCGCACGAGGTAGGCCGCTTTGCCGTCGTTGACCTGATATCCGTCAGTGGGAGTTCCCKCGTACAAGTGGAACAAAGTGGAAAACGTACATTGCCCAGACAGACGTCCTCGATGACCGCAGGGTCCATTTTGGACTTCTGCACTACCTCCTTCAGTAGAGCGTAGATCATGTAGTCCAGGTCGGTGTCCTTGAAGCCGCCCTTGGCGGCCTTGGTAAGCGGCGTCCGCAGCGCGAGGGTGATGACAACGTCATCGGGGTTCTTCTGCGTGCTGGCGTTGGTCAGTATGTGATGATCCGCGGTTGGGCCAGGGATGAAGCATACATGGCGGAGACTCCGCTCCCTCCGGAGGGGCGGAGGTGGTTCAGAAGTGAGCTTAGGCGATCTGCGGCCATTGTGACGGTGATTCTATGGGCTGTAAGCGTGAGTTGACGGTTGGATGAATTTTATAGAGCACAATAGGTGAGTGGCAAAGAAAGGATCAAGGCGATCATTAATCACCTGTCTGCGGGGAAAGCTCAAGTATGCGGAGCTCTAATGGGTAGACTCGGGGCAGATCAAGTATGACTTACGGGGTATATATTCAGAAGTCAAGACTGAGGGAGGAAGGAATCGTAGGAAACTTTTCAGCAGGGAATCAGAAGATACCAATTGTTATAGAAGAAGAGGCGAAAGTTGATGTTTATCTACTGTTGCAAAGCCGAGCGGGAGCCGAGGCTCATCGTGTCCAAGCACATCCGACACGTACCCAGACTTTGTTTCACCGCGCCCAATAGGTGGTAGAGCTGGTACAGTGACTTTTAATTTCTCTTACCCGAGACTATGCGATTCTCAAGGTTAAAGCAGAGTTCGTGTTCGTTTTTCTAATCAAAACTCGCTCCGAAGCAACTGAATAGCCTATTATGTACATAGACATACTCGGAAATGAAAGCAAGCCAAAAATGATACCCCGAGTACAACGCCAAAGACCACAAACTCCGTCCAGCCATATCAATCCTCGTGTTTTCAACTATTCCGTACAAATGCCCTCGTGACCCGGTCCATAGTTCCAACTATTTCCTGCGCCTCGCCTCAAAATCCATGGTGACCCAACTCTTCGTTGCTAACAACACTACCAACCTCCGACCAACTGGCTGGAGTGGCAACACCATCCATGGGTCTTCCGAGGTCACTCAGAGTGCCATCTGACGTTGCGTCGTCAGCGGACTCATAAACGTGGCTGAAACTATCAGCCGTAGACGGCGTCGATGAACGTTCTCGCTGCTCAAAGCCCGTGCTATTCAGTTCGGATAGGTCAGAGAACGGCGATGGGAGCTCGCGATTCGTGTCTATAAGTGATGATTCTGGATAGATGGTTTGAGATTCTTCCTCAGTATGACTCGGCGAAGGACTTCTTTCTTTATCTGTTGTGGAAGAAAGCATAGACCGCTCGGCTTCTTCTGCTTTGTCGCTAGTAGAGCCGAAAAAGTCTATATCTGTATCATCAGAAGTAGGAGTAAGCTCGACAAGAGACGCGGAACGGTTGCCAGTAGATGGAATCTCTAAATGTAGTTTATCATTGTCGGTCACGGTGGCAGCCGGTGTGATCTCGCCCACGGAAGCCGACACATCTGGCTCCTTGACTCCTCGGTGGACAAGCTGCGATGATGGCAAGTCCACAGCCGTCGAGTTCGCAAGCGTACTGGCAGTCGCATCCTGACTGCCCGACCTCAACAGGTTGCCATTTTCATCCACAAGGGCATCAAAGGATCCAAACAAACCACCCTGTTGTCGCCTCCGACGTTCTTCGAGAGCAGCAGCTCTCTTCTGGATTTCTTCGCGAGCAATCCTCCTCCGTTCTTCTGCCGCCGGGCCCGCCTCTTCCATCATAGAAATATCTTCCCTGAGGGAAGACATCGAGGCTCGAGGTTGAATTTCATCTCCGAGATTGTGTAAAGCCAGCGCAATTTTACGACGAGAATTGTTCAGCCATTCTCGGAACTGGGGCGATTCATAGACCGCTATACCAGCAGCGACGAGCGCTGAAACTGTTATGATTATCCCTTCATCACAGAGTTAGCAAAGTCCAGCAGTATATAAGAAAGTTCAATCCAGAACGCCGAAATTATCAAGCTGCTAAGGGATGTCCAATTCATCATGTCGACGGCAAAGTAGTATACTGATAAGCACACCGCCCCGCTAGTCGGGGACAGTGTAGAATCTCGGAGGCAAGAATGGATAAGTGATTTCTGTAAGGAAACGAGTCTATCATACCTTTTGCGACTGGCGAAGGCATCTTGACCACCTGTTGGCCCTTCTTCTCTTGTTCAGTTCCTCCTCACCTTCCATGGCAGGCAGAAGGATAAATGATCGATAACAGGTGACGCCGTCATCCCGGCGCTTCCCCGCTGCTACCCACGTGATGTCAGCAACCCTTATCCACCAGCCCTATCTATCGTCCGCTTTCGGCATCCCGTGTTTTGTCCCCGCGTCTCAAGACGTCAACAACGAACCCCGAAGATCAATGCCAGGATCCAGGCGTTTCGTCAAAGGTCGAATAATCCCTTTCCAAAAGACAAGCCAGCATTATGTCTCGTCCGTCGTCCATTTCTCAGCGTCCCCTGACGCTGACGGAGGAACTGGAGAAGCTCGAGCAATCTATCACCCTAACCCTGCAAGGTAAACAAACAATGACCGTTCACCAGTTGCCTTCTTACCAAGCTGACCTGATATCTCCCAATCGAACAGAAATCGACCATAACTTCAGCCAAGCTCACCGAATCGTCACCACGAGTATTCTCCCTCTAGTCGAACAATATGCGGAACATTCGAGGGATGTTTGGGAGGGCGCAAAGGTTGGTTACTCGGAAGACGTCCATTGGGTCAAAGCTAACATGCGACCAGTTTTGGAAACAATTCTTCGAGGCCAGCGCCAACGTCTCTCTTTCTGGTTACGAAGAGAGGCCCGATGAAGATACAACGCAAGATCAGACTGTCACGGAGGATTCCACGGACGTTACCCACAGCAACCTCACCGATACCGTGTCCTACGAAACGCCGTCCTCTGAACGCCTCAACATCGACCATAGAGCTGACGACCTTGAACTCACATCCCTCAGCGTATCCTCTCACAGTACGCCTCGAGTAGCCACCCATGAGAGACCACATGAAGACGAAACAATCACCTCCGCTGTCTCATATACATCCCCCTACGAAACACTCAAGCAGGAGGTCCACGAAACCGATTCCCCCTTCGATATGGACGACTCCAACCTCCCCAGCACACCAGGCCGTCCTCCAAGGCTACACGACTACGCGCGCAACCCACCCGACACATCCTCTTCACCGTTTCTTCCCCCCGCCTCACATGAACAACCCTCAGGCGCCCGCCGCAACCCACACCATAAAACATCAGATCCCGTCATGCATAGGGTCCTCGACAAGACCTACCGTGTGCAAGCCACCCCTCTAGGTAAAGGCTATAGCGCCGCAACCAGCCGCTCCAAATTTACCGTCACCCCGAAAGTATCCACATCGAAATACGCCTTCGACGACTCTCCGATCTCCAGCCCAGAGCCCGAAGCGCCGCAACTACACGCGGAGATCTTCTCCTCTCCTCTCAAAGCCACAACTCCCGGTACCGGTCGTAAGCGGCGTCCCAGCGGCCACCTCCGCATCACCCCGAAGCCGGGAATGAGCGTTTTGACCCCGGCCAAGAACCGAGGTGGCAAGCATTCTGCCTGGGACAGCGATGAGGAATTTGACGACGAGGACGATGAGAACTTTGGACCGAGTCCGCCCAAAACAATGCAATTCCATATTCCACAGAGCCGACTCATGAAAACACCGGGTATGTTTCATACTCCATTTGCGCGTGTACAGCATCATGCTAATGTAAAGGTGCACAGCCAAGGAAGCATCCAAGCGTATTGTTGAGGACTTGTTGTTCACTGCCGGCGTGAACGATACAACAGATGATCTCATTGATGAGCAGAGCCCTAGTGTGATCCGACGGGTAGAACGGTTGGAAGATGAGACATTTTGATGCAAGAGCATGACTCTGATGAAGCTAACTCGATTCCGAGATAATCTGAATTGGTCAAAGTTGGTTCTCGATGTAATTATATGTTTGGTTCTTTCCAGAACAATCTATTTACCTTATTCCAGCTTGTGCTAGCCTTTCAGTGCGACACTACAACGGGAGGTCGGCGTAATTTAACAGGACTATTGCCGGATGCTAAACTGACGCTGAAGTCTACTCGGCTGACATCGAATGGCTCATGAACAGCTGATTCCGTCGCACCTCGAAGTGGGATACGAGCAAAAGGGTCAGGAAGCTGAAGTGGGTTCTCTTCTTGAAGGCACCCAGTACATAGTCCAGGCCTGTCAATGGCATGCTTTTGTATGAATTGAAAAGATAAATATCTTCGGGCCTGCGGAATGAATACTCTAAAACGGCAAGGAGACTAAGAACATGTGCTGTGAGAATGCATCAATGGGTATCGAGCGAATTCGCTGATCATCGGAGGAGGGACGGAGGTTGGGGGAGAAACAGATCGAGGGTGAAGGGACGAAGGGAGACCATAGTCGCGATATATGTACATTGCGACGGTATAAAGGATATGATAAGAAACCTGCCCAAAAAAGAAAACATTGAAAAGGTAAGAAAGTAAAGAAAACGGGACGTTTAGCCACCAGCTCGAGCCTAATCAGCTCTGCATACCCATAAAGACTTCTTGGCAGTTGTCCACCAAAAATTTCAATACCTCGTTCTTTTTCTGCACGTCAGTCATTTCACGGGCCAAACTCTCCGGTCTCATGATCGTGGGTGCAAAGACGACGGCAATATTCTGGCTTGTCATTAAATTTTCTTTCTCGCGTTCAACTACTCGCTTCAAGTGGAACACCAGGAATTCCAGGACGTCCTGGTGGACACGCGGCAACTCTGCAAGACTCTTTTGCAGAACAGAAATACGAGCTTCCGCTGAGGTAATCTCCCCAGTGTCGATGATTTTTTCATATACTTCATAAGTGATAAGAGGCGTTGGCAGCTTCCGGAAGTATTGCTTGAGAGCCGAGGTCACAGCATGGATATCGAGATCGGGATCGGAGATATCGTAATCCTGAGGAGACCGTTCAAACCCTTCACGAATGGTCTGAACGGCCGAGCTTGCGCCTGATTTACGGTAAATTCCCTCCATATCCATTCCTATCCAATGTGATTAGTGTATAACCTCGGAATAACAAGAGCATAAATCTCACCTCGTAGTTCAACTTCCTGAATGCACCGGGTGACAATTGCAGGAATGATGCTCTTTTCATGCTCCATGCGCTGCTCCAAATCGGTACCAAACAGTGCTGCTACAAGGTTAGCTTATTGTCAGAGTCATTTCGAGACATCGATACATACCAGTCGGAGCGAGATCTGCTAGAGCCGGAACACTATCAGTCTGAGGCATTCGAGTCCCAGCTTGCTTGCTTTTCTGATTTCCAAAGAATCCGAAACCTTGACGACTAGGATCTTGGGTCTGCGAGCGTGGGAGACCGGGATTGGCATCTTGAGCGGCATTGCTGTCGCTTGACATGAAGGCGCCCTTGATACCCTTTGTAACGCCCTTCGCGACGTTCTGTCCACCCTTCTTCCAGTTGAACTTGCGAGGTTGTCCCTTGCGGATATTAACGACCTGTGGTCCTGGAACGACAGTAGCCGGTTCAGCTTCCTCGGACAGATTGGCAGTAGATACGGAGGCAGCGAGGTCATTGTTGGTGGCCTTCAGTGCATCAATAGCGGACAGTGACTTTTCCTTGCCGTGGGAGTAGATGCCAAGGCCATTGGCACCGCGATTGCCTTCGACTGAATTGGCCTTGTAGAGCTCTTGAATCTGATGCACCAGCTGATTGTTCAATTCGGCCAATTGAGCATTCTTGGAGGACAGTTGCTCGAACTCCTGAAAGCTCTTGTCCTTCATGCGATTCAAGTTGGCAAGCTCTTCCGCTGCGTCGTTGCGCTTTTGAACTAGCTCCTCAATCTGTGGTGTAAATGACTCCTTCAGCTTATGGAGTGACTCGACAAAGTCACGCAGGACCTTGCTGGTAATCTTTCCAAGGTCAAGAGGCCCGCTGGCGCCACGTTTCTCCGCTTCTAGGTGATCGGTCAAGACGGAGAGTTCTCGCATGACAATCTCCTTTTTCGCATCCAGAACGACCATCGTGGACCGCTTCTCGTTGAGCTCCGTGTTCACCTGCTTGACGTCGGCCGTCGCGTTGAGGACAGCTTCCATTTCTGCAATCTTCTGTTCCTTCTCCAAGACACGTTGACGTTCTTTGCGTAGTTCGCTTCGGAGCCACGCCATTTCTTCTGAGTGCGACGCTCCAGGGGAACCCGAGGGGCTGCCGGCATCGGGAACGGGTGTGGTACCATTGACGGGGGACTTGGGCCACTTGGCATCCTTGGAGATGCGAGAGCTCTTATCGCTGAAGCTTCGGCCATGCCGCACCGAATTCGACACGCGACGCAAGAAAGACTCGCTGTTCTGAGCAGCATGCGATTCGTCTGATCCCATGATCCGGGCCATATCTTCTTCCAAGGAGAAATCGCCCCCACCGCTGTACTGCAACAACGATGGCGACCCTGGACCGTGAGTGTCCGATTGCAGAGTGCTAATCGAGCTATTACGGGCATGCTGGTGGGACGGCTCCGCATTAGCATCACTGCGGGGAGTACGAGGTGATTCGCCAACTCTCGGGGTGTTCTTCTTGGAGGCCGTTTGCTCCGTGGGCCGCCCAATGCCGTCCTCGCTTTGAGTGACGGAGGGCGATCGAGGTCCGAGTTCTTTTCGGGGAATATGGTGGTGTCGTTTTTCCAACGAATCTCCTCGCTTCGGATGAGGTTGCACGTTGCTTGAAGACGGCAATGAGCGCGTAGAATCTACCGACCCGCCTTTCTCATGCAGCTCACGAAGCTCGTTCGACGGACGAGACGGGGCGGTCACAGAACTATCCAGGGTTCTCGACTCTCCAGAGTCGACGGTTGAACCGTCCTTGAATTGGGCGCTCGACTTGATAGACTCAGGACTTGGTGTAGAAAAGGTGCTAGTCTCCTTGAGATTGACGGGTAGATCAACTCTTGAGCTCCGGTTCGACGTGCCACGCTGGAGATTATCAGTAGAACGAGGTGACGCGTTTGCACTGGCTGCGATATCGTCTCCGCGCCAGCGACTGGAGTCAACCTCGGTCCGTTCCCGTCCTCTTTCCTGGTACGCGATATGGGGCGATGAGCTCCCAGCCGGGGGATGG